ACATTTCCTTTCTATAGGTTTAGTGTGATGCTAATGGGAAACACGGTCCCTGCAGCACTCTGATTGCTTTACTGCTACACTCCTCGCACATACTATACTGTCACAAGTGCTTCATGCACTTGCAATCCTGGCGAGAGCATGGATGCTCTGCCTAATGTTCCATTTGGGCTTTAAGAAATAAATACAACAATTTCTTCTATAGCATAATGGTACGACTTGACTTGAACTATCATATCTAACACATATTGAACATTTACTTTGTGGTAGACCTTTGCTTTACATTATATATGTAATTTTTTTTTTTTCATTTTTGGCAGTGCTAGAGATCAAACTCAAAGCTTCATGCAAGCAAGGCATGAGTTATATCACTGAATTTATACTTCCAGCCTCATGTAAATTATTTAATAGTTTTAATTAATTACCTGAAAAACAGAATATAAGGATTAATATGGAACATAATTTCATTCAGTTTAACTATAACATGGTATCAATATCACATAACCAGGAACTAGCATCATAATTGTCTCTATTAGTAGATAATAACAAGGGGTAGCAGATGTGATGTCAAGTGGTTATGATTATTTTAGTAGAATGGAAAAAAAAAGGTACTTCTTTTGAGTAAGAGCTAGATGTAAAAAAATGGTAAATTTATTCAGTGATTTACATTTGAATTTTACAGCTAATACGGGAATAAAGTTCTGTAGGAAAATAAACAGCGCAAATTCACCAACTGCATGTCCTTTAATTATCACTTAAATAATTATAGATAGTATTTAAACAGTATTACAGATGTAACTATAAAATTTTGGCTGCTTAAAAAGATTTTCATTTTAAGTTTGTCTTCCTTTTGTTCTTCTGTGGTGAACTCTAAGCTCCAGGCTGCTAAGAACGCCTTCATAGATGAATATGCAGAATGCAACTAGAAGCATATCTCATAGGTACTTCCATGAATGAATGGCATGTGCATATAGCGGGGAAAAAACTCTTTAATTCTAAAATGTTTAGGTGGTCTACTGCCAAAACTACAAAGTAAGGTATCTAGTATGACTTACTATTTTAAGCATCCCTAAAATAATTCCATTAGTTCTCCTGGTAAGTTGTGCTGACACTACTGCTGTTAGTCATATGCAGCATCAAATGTTCTTGGTCTATTTTTCCTTTATAGGGATTTTGTGTGACCCTCTATCAGGAATATAATATTGCTCTTCTAACTACAGTTTAAAAAGCTTTCATCTCTTGTAGCCAAGATGTAGCCAAATGAATGTTACTTCCACGCGATAAAATTAATTAAATTTTCTTCAAAGGCCTTCAGGGCCTGTTGCCTAAAAGGGATGGCTGAGTATAGGTTCAAGATGTTTAGACATCTTCAAGGGGAAGCTTGTAAGTGCAAATCTGCTTGAGCAGACAGGAGACCATGAAAACAATTAGGCTAGGCAAGCCAGCTTTGTCATGCAATAGATTTTGTTTTGAAGTCCCGTGTTGCTTTGCATTGTTCTGTTTTGATTTGTTGATTTTGTTGTTTTCTTCTCTTTAAAATAAATAAATAAATAAATTTTAAAAATTAGTTTTATCAGTGAAAAAAATTTAGTATACTGCTTTACAAGATTATTTGAGATGGTCAAATATCTAAGGAGAAATAGGCCTACCAAGTAATCCCTGTGCCTTCAAAGATGTTAGGAATCTCTTGGGAGTCCACATGTCATCACTTCCTAGGTATAAAGCTAACAAGCTTACTGCAAATCCAAGTAGTTCTGAGAAGTTTAGTAGGCAGCAGCCAGAGAGGAAAGGATATACACGTATAAAAAGTAGCTGCCCTCTAAAATACTAGTTTTTTGGTTTTGCCCTGCTTTTGTTTTTGTGTGTTGCTAGAGATGAAGCCCAGGACCTTGTACATGCTAGGCAAGGCACTCTGTCACTAACCAACATCCTTATCCCCAAACGCTAATTCTTGAAATTCCTTTAATGTGTGAAACTGGGGATTTTGTTTGTATGGTAGTGAGCCCATGGCAATGTCTGAAGGCACAGTCTCTGGGATTAACTTCTGACATTCATATCAAGTGTTGGAGGGTTCACAAACCACTCTAAGATTCAACACTATGCTAACCTGTCTGACAGGACACATTGACAACTATTAATTCAGTTGTTTTCAAAGAGGGAAATGATATAAAATCAGGCAAGAAGAGATGCACAATCTGGAAGAATTTCAACTGCAAAGCTGCCTTTTGTCTCCAGACCCATTACCCTCTTACTATTGATGAGTGACAATACACACAGAGTATTATCTACCAGGGGCAATTAACAGTGTTTTAGAGTGCAGTTTTATTGAGGCTGCATTATACAGTTCTATAGATTTGATTGCCCATGAATCAGTCAGTCTCCTGCCCCATGCCCCACTGATATCACACTTAGCTGACAGCCCACCATGAATAACAACTTTTGTCAATAAAGAAATTTTAAAGGTCTTAGAGGTTACCTTGTAGGGGCCTGGTATGAAGACCAGACTTTGATAAGGCCAAATCCTTACTATGTACTTTGGACAGATAAAAATAGAATCATATAGAGAATATCATCTTGAAACACAGAGAATGATATTATTGAGGTTGTATATGAGCCAAAGTTTAACCTTAGAGATTCTTGTTGCTTTGTAGAAAGTCACCAGAATGTTTTTTTGTGCTTCATATAGTCTCCTGTTCTCCACTGACATGACACAGCAGCTGGGTATGACTTCAAGGAAGATTTTCCTCCACTAACAGCACACTTCTGTATCTGTAACATCCTACTTCCACCAATTTTTCAATCTTCTAAACTCTTATTTTTGATTCTTTTGTCCCTTCTATCCAAACATTATGGGCTGAATTTCTCACCCTCACCCCCATTTATGTGCTTATGCCCAGTATCTCAAAATATAACTGAATTTGAACAGTTGTTAGTCTTTTAAAGAGGTAATTAACTTAAAATGATTCATTAAAGTAGGCTGTGGTCCAATATGACTGTTATCATTGTTATTATCTTTTTAGGTCAGGACAAAGAAATGCACAGAAGGAAGACACACAGAGCAAAGACAGCCATTTACAGACCAGGGAGAGTGGCCTCACAAGAATCCAACCCTGCCAATGCCTGTGTCTCAGACCTTCAACCTCCAGAACTGTGAGAAAATAAATTCGTTATTTAAGTCACCAAGCCTGTGGTATTATGCAGTCTTGGCAAACAAATACATAGAGAAAACACCAATCTTTCAATAACAATTTTATACTAACCTTTTTTTTTTCACTTGAGGGGGCCTCTTTTCTTGTACTTCTGGTTGTTTACCATACTTCTAATCAAACCTCACATCTACTGTCAGATTACTATTACTGCAGGAGCACAGAGATCAGGGTGCTCACCTGGTCAAACGCTGACTAATAACATCCTGTTAAATGAAGACCAACTTTCCAGCCTACCACCTAATTACCCTGCTGACCTATCCTTGTTTATCTTGCAATAATCTCCTAATGTTATACTACTGATCTTACCTAAAGTTATCATCTAACTAGAGAGCATCATTTTTCTCCCAAATATCTTCAACCTATTCAATATTCCTTTAAGCCTCAGGCCCTTGTAGTTTAAAGTGATCTCTGACATATCTTAAATTATACTTGTTTTCATAGTTACCAGTATAATAAAGATATAGTGCAAGTCAAAGGCTCTCCTAGTACAAAGACAAAAGGGTTTACAGGAGGCCAGGGGTTCAGCTCAGTGGCACAAGCAGCTGCCTGACAAGCACAAGGTCATGAGTTTGATCCCCAGTACAAAAAAACAAGAACAATAACAAAAACAGTTTATAGGGAAAATATACAATTTAAAATATATATTCATTCAGGATATGTTTTAATATCCAAGGTAAAACCAATTCTTTAAATTCTTAAGATCTAACATTAACTTTTAGAGCACTCTTAGCATATTTCTCTACTGCCTCTAAAACTGATCATTTAAAAAAGCCTAAAGATCTTTATCTGTTTAATCAGAATTCAAAACACCTTTTAAAAAACCTCTTTAATCAACATTAAACTAATACTAATATCCATTACCACACAAATTGCACTGTAGCAGAAACTAATAACTTTACCTTACGGTTTAATCATTTTACCAAATGCTTATAAACATGTACAAGGAAGGAGGTCAGAGCCCAATGCAATCTTTCAAACAAACCTGTCACAACACCTTCTCTTCTTTAGCAGTACTAATTTGCACATGTGCCACTAACAGGGTTTATACAATGAAATCATTTATATACTCAAGAAAATTGTGAATGATGTCCTCTAACCTCACATGAGAACTGGCAGTGAAGAGAACGTATAAGGCTATGGGTTACAGACACTTTGATCCATCAATCACAGAACATTCATTTAAACAATTCAAGGAATAATAGAGGTAGCAATTTAACATCACTTTCATAATCAAGGGCAAGGTAAATTCTATGATTTAAATGCTTTCAAGGCATGTGTGAAGAAATAAAAATAATTTAAATACATGTAAGGTGGTATCTAAATTTGGACAAGTGCATCATTTCACTATTCAAAAGTGAATAGTGTCCAGTAATAGAGGTAGCAATTTAACATCACCTACATAAACAAGGGCACGTATGTATTATTTCAAATGAAAATTCTATTACTATTGCTTTCAATTTTCCCTTGTTCAAAAACAGTTGCAGTAAGCTTTCATAAAATGCCCTTTTGTTTTATCTGAGTTCAGAACAGTGGATAACATGGTCCTATTTCAGCCATTCTAAAACACTTCCAAGTATCCCATAACAATCTACCTTCTGCTCAAAAAGCAACAAAACAGGGCTTTCATTTGTTTAAGAATAATCTAATTGGGCTAGGGATTTAGCTCAGCGGCATAAGCACCTGCCTTGCAAGCAGGTGGTCGTGAGTTCAATCCCCAGTACCGAGAAAAAGGAAAAAAAAAAAAAAAAAAAAACCAACCAAAAAAGAATAATTATAACAGTATTAAAAACTTACTTGAACTTTGCTTCCACTTCTTCAGCAGCTTTCTGATACTGCTCAGTGGTAACTTTGTAGAACTCAGAGCTCTGTAGGTAAAGATTGATAAAGTTTTCATTAGGCAAAAAGATAAACAGCATGGAACAATTGCAATTTCATACATTTTCAATCACTCACACAGTAGGAATTTTTCTTGTATAGTGACATGATATTTATAGAAATTTATGTGAAATTATTCACTTAAATTACAGCACCATTGCTGACATATACATCGTAGTTACAAACTTTCATAGTTATGATTCACCATTATTTGACCCTGAGAAAATTCAAAACTTTTTATTTGGATTTATGCTATCTGCAATCTGCCACTGCAATGCTTAAGATCTAGCAATGAAATTTATATGCACTAACATTTGCCTATTAGATCAGTATTGCAAGAAGGATATGTTTTACATAATATTTTTGTTCGCAAAATCCTGTAAGGAACAGAAGTTGTTCTATTACCTCCACAAGATCAAAGAAAAATCAAAATTTGTAATAAATTAATCGGTAAGAACAAAGTGGCAAGTTTTGGTAATTTAATACAAAAAATGTTTATACTACTACATGAACATATAAGTAACATAAACCAAGTTGAAATGACAATATAATACCTTTCTTAGGGCAGCAAAATTAAACTTATTTATTCTGATTAGCTACTTTGAAGCCATTCGTACTATATGAATGCCTATATGAACCCATGAGCCCTCACTCAATGAAATATGCTACAAAATACATAACAGTACAAAAGATCGCAGCACAATTCAGTGGTCTATCGGGTGTCTTTATTCCCTAATCACTCAGGTTTCACATGCATGACTTGAGGTAGTTTATTTTTTAATAAATCACTATTGGTTGATGAGAAAATGAAAATGAAATTCTCTTCAAATCAGTGACCCCTTTGCATTTAACAATATGAGCTGCCCAATGACAGTCACATCTAGGTTTCTAGGATGCAGATAAAATCAATAGGTATGTGATTAGACAGCAGAGTCAGGGTGGCTGGAGCCACGGACAGGTCACCATTTGAGATGATGAATGGCTTTCTATCAACCTGTAGTCCCTACGATACTAACATTTACTATAACCTTATTTGGGCTACGATTTATCTTCCTTGCACCTGATCAATAAAGATGAACAGAACAGTTGTAAGGATCGATTGTAATTTTTTATCATTTCCAAGCACAAAGGTGCATTTCTGACATAAAGACAATATTATAAGTGTACTGCTTCTACATTTTTAAAAATTGCAATTTGAGTGATCAACTGCTGTAGGCTATACCCTGAGAGATTTTAATTTATCTGTAAGTCTAAAGCTATCAAAAAGTTGTTTGTCCTCTCAGATATTTTTACTTTCAGTTAAGTCACATCTCCCTAAGTGTTTTAACCTGCAAGATTTTCTTTCCTTCAAAATACACGCAAGCCATGGCAATTTGTTCCCATAACGTTTGGTGAAGGTTTTCTTTGAACCTTTCTCATAAAGTGGGCAGCAAAAGAGGCAATTACTAATCTAACACTAACAATGATAAGAAGCTCCCAAATTACTCTGATTTACTCTCAAGTGGACACTTTGTTAGGGAATTACCCATTAAAATGCTGGCAAAGCAATAACATCTTGATTAATACTTTCACTTATTTTAAGCACTGAAAGTGTAACATCTGGACAGGATTGGGCTTTTGAAAGACCTGGCTCCTGGTTCTGTTCTGCAACCTTGAGTAAGTATTTCAAATTCCTCCAGCTTGCTTTCCAGTATTCTTAACTCAGAAAATATGGGCAATAACATTAGCCCTGCTAATCTCTACCAAAGCTGTGCTAGAAATCAATCTCTTAAGTGTTTTTGCAGAGTAAGATCAACATCCAAATAAATAATTTGGAAAATGACTAATCTGGGCATTGCACTCAGTACAAATTTGAAATGATCAGAAGTAAACAGAAAGTATTGCAAAAAGAATAATATACAAAGCAAGAATTCTGACATAAAATAAATTACCAAGTACCTCTCTTTTTCATAATGCCAAATGCAGGTAAAATTATTACTAATGACACCAAAATTTCCCAGGACCTATGTTCCCTGCAAATTTAGCAAGTAATGTCAAATTTAAATTCTATGCTTTATTTAGATTCCAGATTTCCACCTCAGTGACCAGTTTACCACATTGCATAATCTTGTAACAAAAATAAAACAACAATACCATACAAACACCAACAGAAAAAAACAAAAAACAAAAAACAAAAAAAACGAAATACAATCTAGTTATTTAAGTAGTTATCGTTTAATTCATTTAAGTAAGTATTTACTTCTTCATTTGACATAATTAGATCCATATTAGCCAATAATGTCCCTTTTAGACTTCCAGGACATTTTTCATTTGATATGAAAGAAATAAAACAAGGCCACAAGTACCAAGTTAAAAATTGTAGATGGTGTTACTGAAGTTCAGAAAGAACAGAGATCTCCTCTGGTCTCAAAAACCATTTCTCAAAATGAAAACTTTTCATTCCAAATGAAGAATAAAACCGTCATAGATTTTTCACCATATGATATTGGTAGTCATACAGTGGAAATCTACACAAGAGAGAAAAAGAATGAGCTGACCTATACATACGAAACAATAAAAAAAGTTAAAAAGATACGGTAAGTTAGAATTCAGAAAGTTTGGTAAAATAAACAAGAATACTAAATAACAAATTCCATTGTTTAAAGCCAAGAGGCAAGAGTTCAGTAAAGAGGACAAAAGGAACAAGACACCATGAAGGAAGGGAACATGGGAGATTTACTGTATTTCTATGTACATTCCTTAAAATGAAGTATGGGCATGCAACTAGCTGTTACTTTGGTTTTAAATATTTTATAATACACACAAAAATTGTGTTACCCACCACTGCCCACAAAGGGCTAGTTAACAAATTATTTGGTCTGATTAGACTATGAAAGTATATTTGGGATAGATACATGCTCAAGAGGTTGGCCAATGGAGATTTTATGTATTCATGACTACATGTGAACACAATACTAAAACAAACGTAACATTTTATTCAGCTTTCCCATGTGAAATAATTTTAAGACTTAAGGGGACAAAAAAATTAAACCAGGTTCCCATATATCACCTAGCTCTTGTTCATGTCAATCCAAAGTAGTAACTTAACAATGTTATAACACTAGTAACTAGTAATTCAAATTACTGCTATTAACTGATGTACAGAATTTGTCTTTTCCCACCAATGTTCTCTCTTTCTGTGTTAAGATCCAGTCTTGGTCTCTTATGTAACATTTAATTTTCATGGCTCCTCAGTCTCCTCTCCTGAAATAGATCCTTAGCCTCTTTTCTGACCTTGACACTTGTGAAGAATACTAGTCAGGTGTTTTGTAGATGTCTGGAAGTTTGGACTTGTCTTGTGATTAGGCTCAGGTCATGCATGTTTGGAAGTCTGTGCCTGACTTTGGGAGCTATGTTTTGTGGATACATTTTCTCACTGATGTTGACCTTGATCACTTGATTAAAGTAGTATCTGCAAGGTTTCTCCACAACAAAGCTAGTATTTTTCCTTTTATAAAAGATCTCATGTGGGAAATACTTGGAGGTTATAGAAATACCTGTTTCTTCTCAAAATTTTGCCCATTATTTTTGTGTATGCATTAATGTCTAAAGCAAATTTCTGTGTTTCTCTGGTGTTCTCATGGTGTATTTATTTTTAAGTGATGTTGCACACTTAAGACTTTATTAATAAAAATGACAACCTTCATTCCTTCTTTTATTCAATTATGAAGTCTATGCAGCAACATAGGAAAAGTCTTCTGAAATGAAATCTTCAAAGACTGGATAGCTCTTCTTAGGAAAATATAAATTCTCCAAAGTCTGATTAGAAAATAGGATGATTAGGAGGTAAAAAGAAGAGTGGAAAAAGAGAGTAAGTAAAGAGCTACAGAAGAATAGACCTGTGGTGTGGATGAGGCAGACTAGTGCCTGCATGAAGCAAAAGGAGAGGAAATAGTTAATGGTGTCAGAAGTTCTCTTGGGGGTTGCCTGAGCTCCTCATGGAGGACTTTAGGAAACAGCCCCAACTCTTACCCTATTATTTTGTGAGCCCTTGGGCAAAGGCCTGGGTATTACCTGCTTCAGAGTTTCTTTCTTATAGGGTTAGGTAACCTGTGGAGTCCTGAATCACACCTTTCATCACTGGAGATGGGACCAAGAAGCTGCACTTTGAACAAAAATCTCAGGTGTCTCTGAATACATATTAAATGTGCAATTGACTGGGGTTTTAGAAAAAAACAATAATACACTATTTAGATTGCCATTCAAACTGAAAAATAATGTTTTTGAAGAATGATTAGAAATAGGGCTCTCTAGGGCTGGGGATTTAGCTCAGTGGTGTAAGTGCCTGCCTGGCAAGCACAAGGTTGTGATTTCAATCCCCAGTACCAACCAAAAAAAAAAAAAAAAAAAAAAAAAAGAAAGAAAGAAAGAAAGAAAAAACCCACTCTGTATAATTAAATATAGTTATAATCTTTATAAAAGTGTTACAAATTAGTGATTTTGCCAATATTGTTCACAAATCACTAGTGATTTTGCCAATAGTGTTCAGAAATCACAAATCATCAGAACTCTGGTTTTGCATACTGACTAACAAGGAAAAAAAGAAAAGTACAAAAATTTTCAGAAGGGTAGCTTTTGTTTATCTGCATTGACTTTAGACAGTAGTGGGTTGTGCATGCAGTTATCTCGTTTAAGAGCTGTAGACTGTTGTTACTTTAAAGCTATTAAATTGTATTATTCTTATAACCCTATAATTTCCAGTAGTACATACTTATATCAAGTATAAGTATATACTTATATTGTGTTTGATTATATTATCTAAACTTGGCTCAAATACATAAAGTCTGTGTTTCTAATGGTTATGTGCATATATGCCCTTCAAATTTGGCTGACACACCAAGTCCTCATATTGCATGGGGAGAAGGAGAAAATTTTGTAAAATGATACTAAAAAAAAGAGCTAAAAAGAACAGATGAAGTCTTATGGTTTATATGTGGAGGTCCTCCTAATC